GGCGGCGCCGTCAGCATCACTTCCGACCTCTCCTTGGTGCTCTGCAATTCCCGGGAGGTGAGGAAGGTGCAGGAAATTGCGGTGACTTGTCGGAAACAGATGAGGGAAATACTGGGCTGCCTGGAGTTCCTTCGCCGGGGGCAGGGCCCGGGCGACCCGGCGCTGCGGCAGTCGGAGAAGAGGGCGTCCATCTCGCTCTACAACTCCGTCTGCTTCATGGTCCTCTGCGGCTCCCACAGCTTCCTCGTGCCAGAATGCACAAAGGAGGCCACCAAAGTAAGCCAGGCTGTGCTCAAGGCCAAAATTCAGAAGCTGGCTGACAACCTCGAGACCTGCACCAGGGCAATGGATGAAGTCTGTGATCTTCTGGAGTCCAGAACAGAGCTTTCCCCACGCACGAGGAGACTCAGCTTGGGTGCTAAAACCACTGCCGAGATCCCGAGACCCTGCAGCTGAAGCAGTGTTTGGCCCATATAAAAACTGGGTTTGAAGACATTGCATTATTTACTGTGACCATTATCACTGCTACCTGTTGTTTTACAGTTCACAGTGCTGGTGCTGTGAGGTGGACGTTCTGCAGACCCCTTTTTCCCCAGCCATTTCCACTGCTCTGCTTCCTCAAGTAAGCAAAAAGAAGTAGGTCAGGAGGCAGATGAAATACCTGATGCTGACTGAACCTGGTTAGTAAACAACTTATGAATCTGTGTGTGGTACAAGGGCTGGAGTACCCTAAAAAAGCCAGCAGCTGCCAATTTCCAGTAGAGTACAATCCCATTACTAAGGTACATCTGGAAAGGCTGTAGAAAGAAGCAGCTCCAGATATGACAAACTGTATGGATAGTTCACCATCCCAGGGTGAAATAGCAGGGCCAGAATTTATCTGTTTTGGAGAAACCTCTCCAGACTGAGAACTGTGATGTTTGTATTCTATTTATTTGCATAGAATGATTTTAAGCTTATGATATTGTATTTAAGAGTGTGTATATATATATATATTTTAAGGTTTGTTTTTTTTTTTAAGGAGGCCTCTGTTCCAAAGGAAGACTGTTGTTTTTTAGAGTAAAAGCAAGTCTTTAGCACGTGAGAGCAAGTTACCTGTTATTTAGCTGTGAGGGAGGGCAAGTCCCTGTAGGAAAAGGAAAGCATTACCTGAATGCTGATAGTAATAAAATAGGTGAAATACAGTTCAGACATTGACAATAGATTTTAGGAGCCAAAACAGAGAGAAGAAGAGTGGCCCTGGGACTAGAGTCTGCCTCAGGGCACTGGTGGAAGGACACAGTTATATCTCCTGCAGCAGGAAGAGAAGGGTAGGTTGGTGCTACGTGATGGGAGCACACCTGAGAGGTGGAAGTGCCACTCTTCATGCAGTCGAGCAGCCTGTGAGACCCACAGTGGATCATCTGTGAGGGGGGAGGCAGCACTCATGGAGAGCTACACGTGCTCCTAGCAATGCTTCTCACGGAAGGCTTCATATCAGTGAAATACATGCAGGTACTAATGTTCAGGAGGGGTAGAGAGGAGTAGGGTGATTCAGTGGCAGAGCCCCTGCAAAGCAGGAGCAAGGGCTGGGACCCTGTTTCAAGTGACTGTTCTGCTAAATATGCCCTTTGTGATTTTGAGCCGTCAGTACCTCAGTTCCCTGTCTCAAAAGAGGGATAGTAGCACTTCCCTACCTCACCAGGATGTGTCTGGCATCACACCTCTGAGAAGTGCCCGAGTGGGGTGATGATGGGGATCACGTCTGTACCTGAGAGAGGTACAAGAAGAGACCCTGAAACTAGCTTGAGGCGACTCAGAGAGTTAATGCAAAGGTAATTCCCTCCACAAGCATGCCCCAGTGGATAAGGGAAACTTCCCTGAGCAGACACAAATCCAAATGATCAGAAAAACCCACTCTGTAATTCTGTAACACTGACCAAATCCTTAGGGAGGACAGCACTCTGGGTCACAAAGCTTGAATCCCTGTCCTTCTTGTCTCTTTTCATTATATCAACTTTTGTTTTAATATGTTGTAGGAGGAATAAAAGCTCTGGTTCCCCAGAGTGGGACTCAGATGCTTTTGATACCCATGCCAGTTTGCCAGAAATGAACAAGTAGACTGCTGATTCGAATAAATGAACATGAAGCACTTTTGTGTCAGTGTCTCTCTGCTCTCCTGGAGGTGATGTGCTGTACACATTGTCCATCTCATCTCATTATGCATCCCTTCTGAAATAGCTGACATTATATCTGCACTAAAATTCATCTGCTGGGGATGCTCTCACCCTGCCCCTGCTAAGGACTGTAACATGCAGTAGAGCTAGGAGCACATTTGTTTAAAAGCCCTGGAGTGACAATTTCTAAATCCAGTATAATCTGCAGTGTCCTGTGCTGAAAAGCACAAAAAAGGAATTACTACTTAGAAGCTGTGTATTTATTTTATCATGCATGAATTCTCCCAGCAGCAGTTTAGGACAGGAGAAAACTTTCATTCAAATACATCTCTTGACAATAGGGAATTACACAGACTGGAATTTCACCAGAATAGAATTGCTCCACCCTGCTCCCCACTAAAACAGCACCATATTATGTGGGCAAGGAGTTCAGTAAAGAATCACAAGCAGTGACTTCCTGTCACATCCCTGACTCCATTTCCTGAGGCATCCCAGTGACCCTCACAGGGGTTCATGTCTACGTGCTGGCCAGGCTTAACCTCTAGCACCAACGATAAGCAGCAAACTGATGGTCAGGCTGCTGTAATTTTTGAAACATATGGTAACAAGGAGCATCTACACAGGGTGGGTTTGGTTTGTTGCTTTTTTTTTTTTTTTTTTTTTATTCAGTAAAATCAGGTCATTATGAATGCAGCAGTTTCATTTTGACTCCTGCCCATGAATTGTTTCAGGTTTCCTCTTCTTTCCCTGTCACGCAGAGAGTTCGTTCGTATTTCCTCTCAC